CAATTTACCCCTCCCAAATCAATCATCGTAGTTAGACATAATTATCTTCTTTTCAATTAAATTTTTTCTCCTAAAAAATTAAGTACTGTTTGTTTCCAATTATATTAAGTAAACTTTAAATTTTCCTCAAATAACTTTTGTAAAAGATATAATTGAATTTTACAAGATTTTTAAACGGAGAATTTCACATTTGTTTACAAAGTTACCAAAAATGATGGACATGATCGATTTTATGACAATTTGCAGACTAAAAAAAACTATATTTTTAGCTTAAATTTCGGACGTGCTAGGAAGGATTAAAAATGTAAAAAAGTAATCAAAAATACTTTAGTCTTTCCTCTTAATAATAACATAAACATTTAGACGATAAAACTTTGTTTTTATTAAGTTTGTTTTTTTTTTTTTCATCAGGTTATGCTCTTTTTCAACGAAGTATTGAAGATAACTAAATAAGCAGAAACATGTGTCTCATTAAATAATTGGCCATTTCAATTTCGTTTCTAGTAAAGAATTTGAATTTTTTGTCGTCTGTGTTATTTGTTATTTATTATTTTGTTATTCCAGCAGTAAAATACGAAACCTTGTTTAAATAATATAACACTGACTTCGTTGTTTTTTTCCTTAAACCATTTGACCAAGACAGCTTCATGGACGGAGCTGTCTGAAGTTGAGACAATTTATTATAGTATATTTGATATCATGGCCCTCCTCCGAGACACTGCATGGCTTTCTGGTCCTCTTTCTCCAAAAGGTTGCCGACTCCTGATATAGATGGTCTAGCTGACAAAGAAGAGAGATTTGTCTAAGGTATGGAGATTAATAGGGAAAAAGAAAACTCATGACAAACGATGAGAAAGGGCTTTCAAGCAAGATAGTGATCAGAAAAGTGGCTCCACATATCTGTCGGTGAACGCCAAGGTTGTCTTTTGTCCCTCAACGCTCTATAACATCTTCCTTGGGCGGATCAGGTGAGATGCCCTTGTGTTTCTCAAGGGCAGGGTTAGCATCGGAGGTCACAACATCACAAACCTTCACTTTGCAGACGACATAGGTGGTCAAACGCAGGGTCTCGTGCTCCATTACATCTCAATTTTTATAAGGTGGTATTCATATAAAATACAAATTTTATTGTAAACTAATAATGTACGATAATAGTTTATATGCAATATAGGTGAACAATTCAACTAGAAAAATTGAAAATAAATACAGTGTGTCTAAAACCAAATTAAATACATGTAATAATAGATCACTACATCTTAAATCAAGAATGTTTTACGGCAATTTTTAACATCAACTTGAGATTTTTCATGTTAAAATGTTGAATTATTTAACACGTTCAACATTATAGATGAAAAATAGTGAATTATATACAGTGTAGCATACATACGGACGATAATGGTTATGTCCCCATTCACATAAATACAGTAGTACATACTGTATGTTGGTCTGCAGTTGGAGATACGTCTTCAGCTGTGCTGGTCAAACTCTCTGCCTCCGGGCAGAGAGGATCCCCAGACGAGACTCTGCCCTTCGACATAGCCTCGTCTCGAGAAACTGCTACCAACTCCATTTTATACGGGTTCTATGGGGAATTTTTGGCCGATCCTACGGGCTCGGATACTCCACATTAAATTCACCCTTGTTCCACATCTTGGGGTGGTTAGTAGATATCCTGCAGTTGGGGATTCATTGTGGAATTCACTTGACTCATTTTTAGCAGTTGACTACTTCTACGCGCCGCTGACGAATCTTATATGTGTTGTTCTTGTCCTAAGTATTATCATTCATTACGAACCTTCGTGCGATTATTCTATTACTACTACCTTTGTATAGGACAATTTATCCATCGCAGTCGTTTCTTTGAATGTTTTGGTTCTGAACATACTTACGTATTCTGTTTAGTACGAGTGTAGTGATTGGTTAATTTTTAACCAATCACATATTTTTAATGTAAGATCAAGTTTTCCCGCGGTTTCGTGGGAGCCACCCTTTTTTCCTTAAATTGGGAGACTTTTCGCAAGTCGCCATTAAGATTCAGTAAAATCCCAGCCGTCAACACAAATTCACAATCTTGCTCAACGCACACACAGACACAGAATTTCATAACTACAAACTTACATTTTCTCTCTGCAACTTTCGCCAAGCACAATCAACCAGAACTTTGTTGATTCAAACCAGTTTATTCACAACACATACCAAGCAATTGTATTTCTTCGTGTTATTCATTCTTCACATGCAAACCTTGCTTTAACAATTATTTCGGAACATTTATCTCACAAGAGAACTTTCTTCAAACGATTGATTACAATCAATCTACAGTTAAAGGGAAACAACTTCTTTCTCTTTAATCTACATTGTGAACAAATTATTTCATGCGTGTTGTTGTATTTTATTCAATATATATTTCTTGGTTAACAAATTGGAGTTGTTGTTATTACTCTTACTTGAATCTTGTACGTGGAAGTATCATTAATATAAATAGTAGTAGTACCTATATATTTGGTACCCCGCTACAGTGAGATATAATTTCATAAGAAAGGTATCTAATTAACTTATAGGTACCTCTTATGAAGTTTTATCAGAAGTGTACATAAAATACTATAATTTTATAGTACACATTTTATAGAATAAACTTTCACGTTGTATTCGCAAAGTAATTTCTGTCATACAGAAAAAAAAATCGCGCTAAAATTTATATGTTATTTAAGTTCCGCTGACACAAAGAGAAAACAGTATTTTTTTAATCACAAGTTAGAATGTTCTAAAAAGTAAAACAATAATTAAAAAAATACTTTGATCTTTCCTCTTAATAATAACATAAACATTTTGACGATAAAATTTTGTTTTCGTCAAGTTTGGAGTCTTTTTCATCATGTTATGCTCTTCTTTTAGCGATTTCATGGAGTTTTGACTCATAGACTCATGAATTCATCGACAGACATAGTTTTTAACGTGTGCTTACACATACGATAATACAAACTTTACTCAATGGGATCACACATTTTTGTGGAAAATAATAGCTGAAGAAAAACGCCCAAAATTTCTTTTGCCATGCTCATAATGAAAAAGTATTGGGAAAAATTATTGTATAAAAATTTTAAATTATTTTTTGTTTTGAAGAAATTTGGGTTCAAAATTTTTTTAGATTGTATAAACAAAGTAGTAAATGAAATAAATTGAATTGGAAAACTCTTACGAGAAAAAGACTTAGTTTTTAAAATTCTTTCGAAAATCAGGTAACTAGTGGATTTTAATTTTTAATGGAACTTTCAGAATTCATTTTTTATTTGAGGAATTTATTTTTGTAAAAGACAACTTTCTAAAAATAAGTTAATTTTATTTTTATGTCATTTTTTTCCACGTACACACCATTTTTATACTTTAGATTTATAATTTACTTAATTTTATAATTTAAAGCCAAAGTATAAAATTCAATAAAACATTAGATTACATAGAATATTTTCCTAAATTATTAACAAGGTTACTGTGTGGTAAAAAAAAATATATAAATAAACTTTCACGTTGTATTCGCAAAGTAATTTCTCAGTTATGTACACTTTACTTAAACTTGCCAAACATAAAGCTATCGATAAACACTTAATACAAACACCCACTTCTGTGTTCGAAAAATGCTTTCCCGTGATATTTTAAACTAAAATCAATATTTGTTTTAATTCAGCTAATTAATTAATTAAACTTTAAATCAATTCATCTTCCTCAAATAAAGTTTCAAAAACGTATATTATACTTTTGAAATATTTTTAATAAAGAGAATCATGTTCAGTTGACAGATTTGTTAATATGGTAGATTTAAGCCATATTAAGGATTAAAAAAATGTAATTTTATTCAATTTAAATCTGGTTTGAAATACAATAAAGTATTTTGCTGATTGGAAATATATTTTTTTTATCTATAGGCTTAGAATTAAAACTAAAATAAAAACTTCAAGAAAGATTTTTCATTTTTAAAATACATTTTAAACCTTAAGAGTCTTCTTTTGGGGGGGGAATACATTCTTAAAATTATTCTTTTTAACTTGCAGTTGCCTTATAATTGTTAATATTTTCAGAACAAATTATTTTATTTTATATCTTATGCGAGTGGGATGTGCGGGTAGTGTAATTAATAGCAACTCTGAACGAGAAATCGGTAAACCTATTTCAATAGGAGTAGATAGGTTCGTCTATCGCCCGGTTCATACTCCTCCTCGGCATTAGATTTCATGTTATTTTCTTATGCATGGAGCCACTTACGTAAAAACGAGTTTCTGACATTTGTATTGAGTATTATCCCTATCTTTATTACCATATTCACAACGTTTCGGCCGTTGTAGTCTCCGACTTTCTTCTGGTGATATACGTTGGAATTTCGAACCGAACTCTTTATTTCGTCCACCAGGGTAAATAATTTAAGTTCTCTTTTTATCTATTGGGCCATGTGTCCTTGGGAACACATCTTCGGGATACATGGCCCAGTGGATAAAATGTTGGCTGAAGTAATCCAGCGACTTTACCCAAAGAGTTGTGAGTTCAATACCTGATCACAGCAGAGGTAAACAAAAGAAACTTGGAGAGCTGATTTACTAAAGGGAAATTACTTAAACTCGGATATCCAGAAATGGCATGGCACGTGGAACTAGAACAATCCTACATCTTTCTTGCCCTCCTCTTCCCTCCTTTTCTCTTCCACTTCTGTCTTGTCCTTCCCTCCCTCCTTTTCTTCCCACATCTTTATTGTAATTTTCTCCCTCCTTTTTTCTCCTACATCTTTCTTGTGCTCCTCCTCCCTCCATTTCTCTTCGTTTTAGTCCTTCTTTCCCTCCTTTTCTATTCCACTTCTTTATTGCTCCTTCCTCCTTTTCTTTTCTTTTTTGTCCTCCCACCCTCCTTTTCTATTCCACTTCTTTCATGTCCTCCTCCTCTCCTTCCTTTTCCCTTACACTTCTTTCTTGTCTTCCTCCACGCGCATTTTCTCTTCTTCAATCTTTTTGTCACCTTACTCCCAAGAAAGAAGTTGGAGAGAAAAGGAGGGGGGATAAGAAAGAAGAAAAAGAGAGGAAGGGGGGACAAGAAAGGAGAGGAAAGGAGGGGGTGGAAGAAAAGAAAGAAGTGGAATAGAAAAGGAAGGAGGGGAGGACACGAAGGAATAGAAAAGAAAGGAGGGAAGGACAAGAAATGTGAAAAAGAAAAAGGTGAAGGGCAAGAAGTGGGAGAGCAAAGGTGGGACTGGAGGACAAGAAAGAAGTGGGAGAGTAAAGGAGAGAGAGGAGGATAAAAAGAAGAGAAAAGGATGGAGGAGAACAAGAGAGATAAAAGCAGGGAGGCGGCAGACAAGAAAGAAGTGGGAGAGTAAAGGAGAGAGAGGAGGATAAAAAGAAGAGAAAAGGAGGGAGGAGGGCAAGAGAGAAAAAAGGAGGGAAGCGGAAGACAAAAAAGAAGTGGGAGAGCAAAGAAGAGAGAGGAGGATAAGAAAGAAGGGAAAAAGAGGGAGGAGGGCAAGAGAGAAAAGGAGGCAGGCGGAAAATAAGAAAGAAGTGAAAGAGAAAACGAAGGAGGAGTGGGATAAGCGGGCAGAAACCAAAAAACAACGAAACACACGTTGAATAATAAATGCTACAAGCAGATCTTCCAAAAACCAAGAAGTAACATATCATCACCACTGAGCAGGCCCTAAATTTTCTCCACCCCTGATAAAAGGTTTCACTCTCAAGTCCTTGCTTGGAACATCTATTGACAAACATACCAGACTTTTTTTTGACAGTAGTACTTCCAGTTTTCCTAGAAGTAAATGTCAACAATATTTTTTCAAAAGTAAATCACGTAATAAATAAATAAACTAATAAATATGAAAATCTAAAGTCAGAGCTAATAAAGGAGGGGTATAATGCAATTGTTAGAGCAGTGGAAATTGGAGCAAGGTGTTTCGTTTCAGGCACTCTGTACAAATTTCTGGGCCAAATTGGAATCAAAGGGCGTAATAGGGCCAAGAGTATAAAACGCCTAATAGAAGTAACAGAAAATAGTTCTATTTGGATATGGAAAAAACGAAATACTCTGTGGAGTGTTTCACCGAACATGACGGCATGACATGTCTGATCGTGAATGCATAATGAGGTTCACGTTGCATTCTCAGAACGCGAGGTTTGCCGTTTTTCGGAATTTTTTTATTAAATTTAATTTCGCCGTTACACATTTGAACTAGTTCATCTACAACACTTGTATATCGTTATAATGGGGCCTCACATCAGTGAGGGGGGCCGGTGTGCAACTGAAACAGTTGAGAGGAAGGCCCCGAAACGGCGCACATTCTCTCCTGATGACCCCAGCTTAAAATTCGAGAGGAACACATCAAAATTCAGTGAAGTCATATGCCGTAGTGAAGCTCGATGGAAGTGTCATTGGCATGAGGAGCATTACACATTCAGCTCGCTTCAGGTGAGTTTCAATTACTTTCCAGTAATTTCCTTCTGCGTAAGGAAATGCAAGACATTTTAAAAAAGCAATATTTCATATTTTTGTGTCGTGCCTTAAACATATCAGCAGCAGCCCTGATGGCATTAAAACTGGCGCACCCTTCAGTGACTCTTTTTTCCTGTTTTCCTCCTTTCGAAATGTGTACCACCAACTTTTCACACCAAATTAAAAAAAAAGGGCTATGATCGCTTCACATGCAAACACACTTACACAGCCAAGCCACACCCAAACGTTAAAAATTTTCGTTGCGTATTGCATTTATTTTTCTTAAAGTATCTTTTGGCTATTGCTGATCAAATGGTCTCTGTTATTTTGTGCATGAACTATTTCGCTGCCATTATTTCATGTAAAATATACCTGTAGAGACCTTATACAATAAATTGAAAAATTAGTTTTTAAGCAGTGTATTAAGAAACAGAAAAAAAAGTCATTAGAAAGAAAAAGTACTGAAATCCTACGTGATGGTAATGAATGCTGACCAATCTCCTCACAGAGGAATACGGACAAATATTGGATTTTAAAGAGTTTTAAAATTTGTTGTTTCCATTTTTTCGTATACAATGATGGCGCAATGATTCGATGTGTGACGAAAAAACGTACCAATGTTTCAAAACTCATAAGTTTATTTATACTTGGAAACTATTTTTTTCTTTTCGTACGGATTATCTTTAGAGCATTATATTTAAAATAGAGCTAAAAATAGAATAGATTTAAGTTCAAAGAAATATGACACCTTAGGGAGTGAAGCGATAGATCGATAGCCATACTGAAAATACGTGACCAGATCTGATCTCTTTTCACACAAAGAAGAGAAAAATTATGTTCTTTTTTATCACTTGTTAATAGAAAAGAATGAATTTGGAATCACCAAAAGATATCATTGTTTAAAAGGCAAATCTGGGTTAGAAAAGTGTCCACAGGCCATGAAAAAAATCGGTCATGGGCAATATTGTTTTGATTATAAAAAAAGAAAGAATATATTTTCTCAGGGGCAGAGATAAGAAGGATCATCCAAAGGTAAATAAAAGAACAATGGATTTGTGTTCGCTGAACTATCATGACAGGTAAAACAAACACAGGGAAAATTGAAATAAAAAAAATGTCAAGAAAATGAATAAAAACCAGATGCCACGCTGACTGTCCCAAGGATGGGTGTGGAATAAGAAGAGGGAGTTAATTCTCCCCAAACCAGGAATCGCAACGGGTGAAAGACTAAGTAGATGTGAGAAAAGAGAGATGAACTTGTCTCCACCCACCGAAGGGTAGAAGTACCTGTAGAGGACCATGTCGGCGATGTTGTTGAGTAGAAGTAAAAGAACACACGTGGGTTAGAAATTCCCTGCTCGCTGGTCCAACTATATGAGAAAATTGGACTTAATTAAAGTCCAAAGAAGGCAAAGAAAAACAAACACAAGACCGATAAATATATGTAAACAAATATATGTATTAATAACAAGAAAGGTTACAAGTTACATGGACAGAGTGCGTGTGGTAAATATTATGCGTGTGTGTTGTGTTGTGGTGAGTGTTCGTACGTACGTGTATTGTGCTTAGCTTCTTCCCAGCATTTGGGAAACGCTGTATCTGTGAGCGTTCACATCTGTGAGGTGGTAAGGCTGAAAGCCTGAGCAAAAAGAGGAAGAGGCGAAGGGTCAGCGAGTATTTATAGCCAGGGAAGAGAGACCACTGGTGAAAGGGTTAACGAACCAAGAAGGAGCTAACGCCGACATACCAGTATATGGCTCTGAGGCAGTATTAGGTGAGGGAATGTTCAGAGTAATAGTTTCAGGTAGACGGAAGAGAGAGTGGTCTCCGCCAATCAAAAACGCTGATGGGAGACATGACTTTAAGGAAGTGGGAGTAACTGGGAGGAGCAAGATCTGTGCCCTCTGCCCGTGGAACGAGATAACTTCCAAATTGGGAAAAATTAATGATGATGCAGAAAAATTCTAAAGAAAGGAACTTTGTTAGAATTTAGTTAATTAGTCCGAGAATTGGGGAAAACCCCGAAGACCCCCTCTACTATCCGGGTTGGAGACAGGGCCCATAAAAAGCAGAGCGCTAACAGAGGCAAACAGACGGGACCAGGAGAAGAGCGAGAAACAACCGTTCTACGTGATTTCCTGCCATTGAAAAAATCCTCCGACTTCGATCTGTGTTGCCTAGATTTATATAAACAAGACCAGTGTCTGATAAAAAATTCGTTGCCGAAAATTAAAAAGATAATTACAATTAATGACTAAAAGTTAAGTCTGCCTTTTCGTTCACACGATTTAAAAATCAGATTTGTCAAAAAGACAGCAGAGATGAGGGGTTAAATAAAATACAAAGAGAGACAGAGGAAATGCCTTAGCCCATTTAGAAGTAATGGTGCGAGGTATAAATAAGAGAAAGAATAAGTATATGGGCGGGACAAAACTTGCAAGCACCACCCGTAGGAAGAAGGGATCTGCCAAACTTAGAAAGATAAGTAATTTTACAAACCAGACAACAAGGACCCTTGTTCAAATAGATATAGAAATCTGGGAAATCCCAAATCCCCAAACACAGGCGAGCAGAGAGACGCAAACGCAGACGAGACAGTTAAGATACTGTTGAAACCTACGGGACCTGTTGCCGAGAAAATTAACGACCTTGAGCCCTGTTCCAAGAAATTTGCACCAATAGGCAAAAGTGTCATAAAGAGATTTTAGTGGGAAGAGTTAATTTTTGTTATACCAATAACTACAAATCGAAAATTAACCCGATAAACTTTTTCGTTTTTATTTTGTCTGCAAATACATTCCCATCGTAGTACAGTTCACCGAGGTCCGAATAAATTCTACGATTACTGAGGTTAATCGATCCCTACCAGTTCTGTGATCAAGAAACACAGTATGGGCAGAATAAGGTGTGGACTGAAGTGGACAGTGACCAACAACCGTTGACCCGCAACAGTAGCGAACAGCATGGGATTGACCCAGAATCGACTCCCGGGCTGTTTTGTATACATACAAAAAGAAAAAAACATTACAGAAATTGTGTGGATGATACGCGCGTATGTGCATGTAAATTCCGTCGCTAAAGGGAAAAATATCTCCATGCTCGAGAACAAGGTCCCTGTAGTGTTGTCACTAAAGCATGCTTGAGGGAAAAGAGAAAGGAGAAAGAGAAAACAGGAAGTGTGCCGTTTTATAGTTGTTTGTCAGTGCTCTCAAATTACTTCTTGCTGAATCCCGTAAACTATGTGGACAACCCACAACCTCAAGTGGAACTCGTATATAAGATCCATCGCTAAAGACGCTGGAAAAAAATATTCGGCTCCCTGTATCGCGCCAGACAATACCTGACTCCTTATGCCATGCTCTATCTCTACAAGAGATCAAAAATGGAGTATTGCTGCTTCATCTGAGCTGGACCTGCCCAATCCTCACAGATTTCAAAAGCGTTTATTCAGCCTTACGTGTGATGAATAGTTTTCTACCTTACAGACGAAACGTTGTTCTCGCTACTCAATCGTTATTTTCATGAGAGATGTTCGGGCGAACTATATTGCCAGGTTTCACCAGTTCAGACCTTCACAGCTAAGACCCGTTCACTGGGACGAGTCAATCTTTCTATCCCATTTGTCAGAAGGAAGTTTGATTTGGATAGCTCCCGAGCAAAAATTGCTACTTTGTGGAACAGACACTACAAGCTTTATTATTTATATTTGTACTAAGTCGGTCCTAAAATAGGTTCGACGTACAAAACGTTAGGAACTTGATATAATAGGTAATAACGCAGAGTAAATCTAGTTGTGGTCGCTGATACTTTAGTATTCGACTAACTGTGGTCCGGCATCGACTGACTGACCAACTCACTGAGCGACTCACTCGTTACTCTTACTACTCCTACTTATTATAGGTGGGAGAGTCTTAGAATAGGTGTGTTCCACTATAGCAGTAACCCTGTCCTCATTTCGCCGGGATATCTCGTCTACACCCTGTCTAAAGATATTAAGCAACTCTTATTATATTATTATTTTTTCCAAACCAAATTTGAATTATTGAAATTCAAATTTGGTTTGAAAAAAAAATTGTCAAATTTGAAGCAATCAATTTAGATGTAAAAACAAAACCCGAGTTAAAATCTTAAGTAGTAACCATTCGTTTTATTGAAGCTATTGACGTATTCTAAAAAAAATACCGTCCGAAGTTATTAGCCAAAACCAAGGTAATAAAAAAATCATCAAAAATTGATCAACACCTATAATAGAACAAATAAGAAACACATATGATAAGTCTTTGGATCCTTTACATCATAATTTAGTGACCTTTCTTCTCAATCACAGCTAGTAATCTATTATCCATTGATTTCGTTCGTTTTTTTTTTTTTACTTCAGCGGGTTCAATTATCGACATGGTAGTTTTAAATGCTACCCATAGGTCTGTTTTGCTGTCATATTGTTTACCACCTTCATATAATTTCATCTTCACAATTGATCGGATTCAGATCAGGACTTCATGGTCGCCATTCCATTATCTTCTCTCCTGTAAATCTTTTATATTCAAAGAATCCAATGGTAATTAGACTCATTGAATTCACCAAAATATATTCATACACTACATTTGGCAGTTGGATCCTCTTATTATTACTGGTTGCGAAAGGGAGCCTTATATCTATCTGTTCAAGCTTCAAGGCCCAAAAATATAGCAATCCCCCCACCCCCGCACCACTGGGGCGATCTCAAGGATGCGGCCTGTTTGCATATTGAAATCCCACTAGATCTTGACTTGATCGTTTTGAATCACCTTCTCCGGATAGTTTTGTAAGACAGTTCTAGTTGAACTAATCCTCTTCCTCCTTCAGATCTGGAAACATGCAGACGATCAACATCGGCCTTAGCATGAGGCATGTGATTGCAAATAAGATACTTTCTCGTTTTGACATCCATTCGCTTAATGTCAACCATGGTCCAGTTAAGGATGTTTAAACTGTATTGCACCACAGGGACCACCAAAGTGTTTATTATTATTATTATTATTATTATTATTGCGGTGAAATGTTTATAAATCTCATTAACCACAACGTCGGTCTCAAACTACCGCTAGATTTGTTATTTGAGTCGATCTCAAAACATGTAACGGCTTTCGTTTTTTTATGAAAGCAATAACGCTTGCTATAACATTTCCTTCGATATAAGGGTATTGTTCCTCAGTGTAAAATGAATGTCATTGGTTAACGAGGGACGTCAAGAGAAGACTTGTGACGAAGTGGAGGAGAGACGTGGCGCGGTTTGTCGCATAAAGATAACAAATTGTCACCTTGTGACGGAAGTTTTCTGCAACATCAGAGAATGCCGTCGTAAAATTTCATTATGGTTATTTTGTAACAGTTCGGTTGTCATTCATGGTCACCGCAGACAAATGTTCACTCCAGATCTTAAGTGAAATTCATATGTACAACTAAAGATGCTGAGGAAATGGTCGGCTCATTTTATCACCCCAGGAAATATATAAAACCTGCCATGATTTATCATTACAATAATCAGATTAGACGAAAAACGGAGCATTGCTGTCATATCTGGGTTCTTCTTCTTTGTGTGCCCTGTTCCTTAACGACGCAGGCGATCATGGCTCTCCACAATTTCCTGTCCCTCGTAGCTCTTAATAAATTTTGTCTTTTTGTTATTTCTTCTAAATCTTGTTCCGCTGTCCATTTACTCAAGTTCGTTCTTCTTCTATGGACTTTATCCTTAGAAGGACGTTGGCGATCATGGCTCTCCACAATTTCCTGTCCATCATAGCTCTTAATAAATGTTGTCTTTTTGTTATTTCTCCTAAACCTTGTTCCACCATCCATTTACACAAGTTCGTTCTTCTTCTATGGACTTTATCCTTAGAAGGACGTTGGCGATCATGGCTCTCCACAATTTCCTGTCCATCATAGCTCTTAATAAATGTTGTCTTTTTGTTATTTCTCCTAAACCTTGTTCCACCATCCATTTACACAAGTTCGTTCTTCTTCTATGGACTTTATCCTTAGAAGGACGTTGGCGATCATGGCTCTCCACAATTTCCTGTCCATCATAGCTCTTAATAAATTTTGTCTTTTAGTTATTTCTTCTAAATCTTGTTCCACTATCCATTTACTCAAGCTCATCAAGTATTCTATGCGTTGTTTTTCTTTCTTGTCTTCAATCTGTCCTGTGAATATCATATTTTCCAAGCGTTCTTTCCACATTATGCGCCCTACAAACCACAACTTTGTTGCTCAGTTCATAGAATCCTCTACATCCTTCTGTAGAAGCA